TGAGTGGCCGTGGGGTAGTTAGGACTCATGATGATCTCTGTCCAACTGTCACATTGGCAACCACTTTTCCTAGTTTATAACACAATATGTTATTTTACTAATTTCCAGCTGCTGATGGTAAGACCTTTATGGTGGAGTTAGTTTCAAATGGCAATAGGGAGGGATGCTTTTTAAAAAATCTTCATCCACCGTGCCTACCTGCAAGTTCAAATAGGATTCAAGAGAGAAAGGGGTGAGAGGCATGTCATGCAAAGGGACTGAGTGAGGAAAAGACTAGTGATGCAAGAAAGCAAGGGGAGCGATAGAAATGAGCAAAAAGTGCCAGTAGAGCAGAACAGGCTTAGCGATGAAGGGAATGGTCTGTAATGATGCAGGGTAGGCAGAAGCTAGACTTTTATGACTTGTCAGAGGATTTTGGAGCCCAGAGAGAACTGAGACTGGTGGCAACTAAGACTATTATCTAGGCTGTTTGTCTTCTACCATATATGCATCCTGTCTCCCAGATGTGAACTTATAGCTTCCATTGCCATATGGCCCAGAAGTTTGGGCTGGAGTGAATGTATACCTCATACCATTTCTTGCTCTTTAGCAAAATGGAGGCACAGGAAAGGGAGATACTGTGGTCCTGCCTGATTTTTAATTAAGATTTCTGCTTATTTTTAAAGTTGAGATAGACTTGGCTAGGAGATGACCTACTCTTTTCAGGTTTTATCCAGCTATGACATTTGGGAACCCTGCATCTCCAAGAACCATTTATAGTGATATACCCATAGTTCAGTACTCCAACATCAGGGCATCAGAAAGAAAGGTAATTTATTTATGACTCCATAAGTATTGGCATTTTGTTCACTAAGTCTAGAATATTTCTCGGAAATTGAGAGATTCCCAAAGTCACTGACCATCCATGCATATCCACAGCTGGGGTTGATTGCAGTAGTGCTCAGCAGATGTTTCTTAATTAAGCAAAGAAAAGCTAGACCTGTTTGACAGCACTGCAGAAGTTGGAGAATGTCCCTGGGGCCCCCTCCTTCCCTTCCACCCCATCATGGGCTCTAATTTAGCACTAGAATCTTCCCAAGGAGCTTGAATCTGCCAGTGGAGTGAGGAATCATCCAGCAGGCGGGTTATTTTAAATCTTTAATAGACACATTACCTTACATTATGTCTTCATCATCCCCCCCTCAGTGTGAGCACAAAGAGAACATCCATCACAATTAGTGTAACATCCTGAACACATAAAAAAGATAAAAATGTGCAGCTGAGTTGGGTGTAAGGGAGCCCAGGCTCTCTGAGTTGCTTTCTATTAGGCTGTGGGCACACGGCCATGCCTGGACAGTGCTCTCCCAGGGGCCAGGAAAGGGATAAGAGATGCTCTCCACTCACTGCTCCTGTACACACTCCTCCAGGAGAGCAGAGATGTCCTGAGACTGTGACTGTCCTCCACCAGCTCTGCTGTCACTTCTGTGACTGGCTAAACAGAGATCATTAGGCACAACTTGGGGTCCCCAGGTCCAAAACAACCAGAAAGGGACATTATTTTTACTGAGCCAAATACTCTTCCAAGTAGCTCATTCAGCTATGAACTTAACAATGGAGGAAGCATTTGATGAGGTTAGCACCTCCACAGCCCAATTTCCTCTCTCTAGTCATCTACAAATCCAATCTAGCTGCAATCAGATTAACCACCACGTAGCTCATGGAAGCCATCCACATTTCTATGAAGTTCCTCAACATTGGACAGAAAATAAGAAGTGATTCACACACATCAGCTTGATTAAAGGCTGTCTTCTAAGAAGGCAGTCAAGTATAAGTCAAGTGTCTGCACAACTGAAGCAGGAGAGAGGAGACATGGCACAGGTACCACATGCCCCATCTGATGCCCTTTCCCCCTTCCATTCCCATTGGCCTCCACCTGCGGGCAATCCTTCAGAAGGCTGAAGAAACTGTTGCTTGCGTTATGGATTAATCTAGAGTCCCTCTCCACAAAGTCTCATGTACTCACGGGTAGGACTTTGTGGGGGTGATGGAGTCAGGGCTCTCGATACTGATCAGTGGATCAGTCTACTGAGGAGTTTACGGCTAAACATGATGTTGGGGGGCGTTGGACTGCTGGGGTGTGTCCTGGAAGGGTCCAGCTCCTTTTCCCTGCCCTTGATTCTCTGTGCTTCCCATCACCATGCCACAAACTGTCTCTCCTTGGCTATGCCTTTCTGCCATGCTGCCCTGTGTTACAGCCAGCAAACTATGGACTGAAACCTCTACAAACTGTGACCCAAATAAACCTTTCCTCCTTGGAATTGTGGCTGTTGAGTATTGTGTCTCAGACATGAGAAGATAACTAAGCTTGTCTTTTTGTAGTTTTTGCATGAACGTATGTATGCAGATAGGTCATTATTTATCTCCCTCCTGGGTTCATGCAGAGGTGAATTAATCATGCACTTTGGTTCTCAGCACTGTCTGTATCATTCAACACAAGGCTCCTCTTCCATCTCTATTCCATTCCCAGTTCTCATTTCTTTCTTCCTCATCCACCCAGACAACTTCCCTGGAATGATGGACGTCTGTTCTTCTAGTGTTGTGTGCGTATATATTTTGGTTTATACAAATGTTTTTTGGTTATAGGCCTCATCTTTGCTTCCTATTTTTCAGGCTTTGAGATTTATCCATATTTTCCTTGTGGGTCCCTATTTCACAGTTCTTAACTCCTTCCTGCTGTGACGGTGTATGCCACCCTTTTTCTCATTGAGTGTATTGGTACATTTTAGGTATACAGCACAGTGACATACATCATTGGGACCTTGTACCTTTATGTGACAGGTCTTGGTCCTCATTTTGCCCCATACCCCTGCCCTCCCTTCACCCCCTCCACCCTTCCCTGTTTACAAACATTTTGTTTCCATTTTTTTCCTGAATGTATAGGGGAAGTGGAAAGGGCACGGGAAAAGAAATAAGGGAAAAGAAAAAAATATGAGAAAAGCCATACATTTTAATTACCCCATCCCTGGAGACAGGCTTTGTAGATCACCGTCAACTTCTGGCTACCATAGACAATCAAATATTTAACCCGTATCCCTGTCCTCCTAGGATTAGTACCAATTTAATCTTGCCATTCCCCATTCTATACTTTCCTACAGTCGTCTCACTTGTTTAAATGTTCAGCACACATTGCCTGGATTATTACACAGGTTTCTCTGCCCACAAACTCCCACCTTACCTGATACTAAACTCTGCTTACTGTGTAAGTCTCAGAGAAGCTGCTGACCTTCTTCCCATGCTTGCTTTCCTCTCAGTGTCTCCAGCACACATTTTATGCCCTAGTCCTTTGGTGCAGAGCCCACAATCCAAGATGATCAATGATGAACTGTCACAAAGGCTGGTGCTTCCTACCTGGTTGGGTCGTGTTGTTCTCAGATGCAAATGGAGCAGTAGTGGCCTATTTGTCTCATCACAGAACCTGGAACTCAGCCAAGGGCTTTGCAGGTGCACACACTGGGGATTTGCGGTTAGGTCCTCTCTGCCAGTGTGTCAGGAAGGAGGTCTGACTGACAAGGGATGAACTGCATCAGACTTAGCAGTAGACAGCTGGAGGCTCATCATTTATGGAGGGGCAGGGTCACGGAGAGTTAGTGAGGGTGGGTCAACCAGCAGTGAAGGGGCTCTTAAGCCTTTTGGTGGGACTGGGCATTAATTTTGATGCAAAGTGTTATCAGTGTTCATTGGCCTCAGCCAATTCTTGGTGACAGGTGTACTGTGCATGCTTAAAGCCTATATTTGAGTGTGTGTGTGTGTGTGTGTGTGTGTGTGTGTGTGTGTGTGTGTCTGTCTGTCTGTCTGTCTGTCTGTTTGTGGTAAGACAGAGAGGGGCAGGATGGAGGCACAGGAGGGCTGGGCCATGTCTTAGTTCCTCTGTCAGCTTTGGAAAGAGCATGAGTGTGGGCCTTGGGTGTGGACTCACTTGCAGTCACCTTGTCTTCTTCATCCCTGAGGCACCCCTGAGGCATCCCAAGGATGGAAGGAGCTGCTGAAAGGGCCAGGGAGTGGTGCTGCCTTTCAGGTAGCCAAAACCCAGTGTGATGGGCATAGGACTGCAGGTGTGGAAGGCAGGTCCTTCTGCTTCTGTCTGCCCATTTGTGTTCACCTCTGCTTACAGTCTTTTTCATGTGCTGATGTTTACCTGAACCCTGAGATTTCTTCATTCAATTTTTTATTCTCTGTTTTCCTGAATGCCTTCACCCTCTCTCTCCTTAAAGAAATGGCTGATTTGGAAATTCTGCAATTATTTTTGATCCCATTTTCCTGTTCTCTCTTTAGCAATAGATGTTAATGTTTTAGTGGAACAGTGGCCTTCCAGCTTACAGCTACATTTTCCATAAGCTTTGGAGCCATATGTGACCTATGGGATTGCATGGGCCACAGGAATGAGTAGCAGTAGTGTGTGCAGCTCAGAGTTTGTCATTCTAAAAGAAGAGAAAAGCTTCCCACTTTTTATGCTCTCCTTTCTCATTGATAGGAGGTGCAGCTGCCAGTGGGAGTTAAATTGGTCATCTTAAACCACAAATGGGAGGTACAGGTTGAGGTGAAGAGAGCAAGAAGATAGAGCCACCAACCCTAAGCAGATGCTACCTCAGCTGGATAGGTCACCAACCTGCAGGGCTCCCACATCAGTCCCGGTATGCTCACACCAGAGTGCAATGAGCTTCTGTTTTGTTTCAACCCATTCCTGTTGACCTTTACTGTCACCCTTGTATTCTATCACCCAGAGACAGCAGTCCGCAGTCCCCAGGTGTACCCAGGTCTGGGGACAAACCTTACAGTTACCAAGTCTTGTGGATGCTAATTTCCATGGCTTTTGAATTTTCCTGATTTTTGAATTTTGTGCACCGGAAGGCCACTGCTCCATTAAAACCCGAACAGTTACAGTTACTGTGTAATGTGAGAGCTGTCAGACTATTTCACAAAAATGAAGGAAGCTTATGAAAGCAGTACTTAGAAATTGTTGCATCATGATTTTATTACTTAATTATATAGGTTAATCGGCACATTTTTGTTTACTGAGTGACTATGGTCGCTCTAATGTCTCAGGGTCTCCAAATGATAAAAATATTACCAGATATTCCTTCCTAAGAGATGTTAGTTTTTCATAAAATTGGCTGACTGGAAAGGGTTCTAAGCTAGAAGTCCGGGGGTGTGAATATAATTCTTGTCTTCCCTCTAAATTGTTGAGTGACACCTACAAAAAAAGAGAGGCATTTGAATATAATAATATCCAATATAATGTATAATATCCAATAGTAATGCTGTGTAATATACCTCTCAGATAAGAGTTTCTGTGAGTTTTTGACTTGGAGTCCACAAGTTATAGCTAGGATGTAGGTTACCCTTGACCACTCATTAACTAATCCTGGAAGAATGATTATCTCCCCAAGCCTCAGTATCTTCTATTTTCATGCAGATTAAAATCTTTGCCAGAGTAATTCCATAAGGAAGTCATAAGAACCCCCAAAATAGAAAATGTGAAAGTAGCTTCCAGGGGCTGAGGGAGTGTGTGGGATCATCTGGCTGCTTCTGGGGCAACAGGAGGTAGGTGGCACCACCTGGCTGGCCTCTGGGTGCTTCTGCAGCCACATCACTGAGGTATGGAGGGTGGGTGGGGGCCCTTGGGCTTGTTCCTTGGGCTAGGTTGACGAAATTGTGTTTCATAGGGTTCAGGGTGGGCAGGATCTTGAGATGGCTCCATACATCAAGAGGCTGAGTCAAGGAGACGCCATGTGGCCAGGCCCCTTCTCGGGGGCAGTGCAGCAGGGCCTACAGGGACCACAGGGTTCTCCAGCAGGAAATGCCTCAGATCTTTGTGGTGTGAATGGGGACTTCTGGGGACCTCCTGCTTGCCTTTCCCTACCCAATGAAGCCCATTTTGGCTCAGGTTGCACCTGGAGAAGAAGAATGCTGGGTGCTGGGTGCATAATACCCCCCTTCCTAAGGTCTTCGTGTAGCTCATGCTTGGCAGTGTCCCTGGCTCATTTCCACTGGACACCAACACTCTGTCTCAAATGCTCCTGTCATATGCTGCTGTATCTCCTTGTCTTCGTCCTTTGCCATGGAGGAAGCATGCCGGGCACCTCTATTCAGCCACTCTGCTCAGAAACATGCCTACTTCATAGCCACAAAGGGGTTTTGCTAGCAGCTTCCTAAGCCTATCATGATTGAGACTTGGCCCAGGAGAGAGAGGGAAGAGCTCAGGTAGGCTACAGAGATTAAACTGAACTAAATGATAAGGTGCTGCAAGACAAGGGGAGGGAGAATGAGGCAGAAAACCCCCGGCTGCGGCTCTGGGGATACTTCGGGGGATTGTACGGGAAGGATTTTGGAGTAGCTTTGGGATGTGAGACAACTGGGGGATATAAGAAAGGGCTTTGCAAAAGAGTTCCTGTGGCTTATGAATTAGATATACTTTCACATTCTTCAAGAGACATAAGTAATGCTTGTGATTCCTTTATAATTACTATTTGGTGGCAGATCTTCACTCTTTAAAGACGAGTCCCCACAGAGACTGTAATATAGCAGGTCATTTATCACATCGCGTTGTGTTTAAAATTATTCAGATGTGTGTGTGTGCAAGCATGCACGTGTGTGTGTGTTTTATATAGGTAACTAGGCAGAACAATGTATGGATCCCCTGCAAAGTGGAGGTGTGCGGTGTTGGGGATGGGCACTCAGGAGGGCAGTGTCTTCTTCCCTTACACAATCGTTGAGTTGGTTATGTCACCAAGAATCAGGCATCTTAGCTCTGGTCCTGGTCAGTTTGTGGGTTCTGTCTCGGAGTCTGCTATCAGCCACCAGTGTCTCCAAGGACACACATCAAATATTATGGCCAAGGCTTTGAAAGTGGAGCAGCCCTTTGATATTATCACTGAGAGAAATGAAGCTGGTTAATGAGCCGGGGATGCAAGGGGGGTAGTTTTGCTGGAGTCCCTGTTCCACGCTGTGCTGTGGGGAGTAGGGTAATGGCATTCAGAAATATCCATCCAGTGCCAGCTGGGACTTTGTAGATCCATTGTTACAGTTATGTCTAGGTGTCCCTCCAAAGCTTCATGGGGTTATAGGTGGGGCTTTCTCAGATGCGGCTGGATCTAGAGTGTGTGATGAATTCATGGTACAGTGCTAGGATTATGGGTGTGAGTTCCATCCTCCCGGAGGGTAGGTAGCCTGGATGCAATATGAGGGATAGAAAAGAACCTGCTGCTAGTTCACTTGTAGTTGGCCACTTGCTTGCTTTTGCTGTCTTCTTCCTTCCAGGAACTATTTCTTCTCTGCGATGCCCCTCTGCCATGCCACCCTGCTGAGAAGCCAGCTGCCTAGGGACTGAAACTTCTACAAACTGTGAGCTAAATAAACCTTTGCTCCCTATATGTGTGGGTGCCATGTATTTTTGTCTCAACAATGAGAAAATTAACTAAGGCAACCATGGAGGTGAGTATATGCTCATAATATTGACATAGTTATGTGATTCTGAATCCCTGCCAGTTCTCAGGGAAGAACAGTTCTGGATCTTATGCTCTACCTGTGTCCCATGAATGACTATCTTCGAATCTTGCAGACCATACTGGGGTGTCTGACTCTGAGAAGCCTGGATTCCTTAGGGAAGACCTTTGCTGAAATACTGTTTTCTACAGTCATCCTCCAACCCTAAGTTTTGAAGGTGATTATGACTGAAAGCTAAATAAGGCAACCATCAGATTATGAGGGAGATTCTCTCCAGCACTTCTAAAAGGACGGGCAGGTGGCAGATCTGGGGTGTGCTGGGATCAGTTTTACAACTTGATATTCTTCTCTAAATCCATGTATACTGCATACTGGGGACAACTAAAATAGTCTGCAGAAGGATTCTCAGACTTTGTGCTCTGAAAGAGGTGTGTTTCTCGTTGTGTGAATATTTTGATGAACCACTGAATGTGGGGGGGGTACAGCGCCTTAAACACATGTGAGAGTCACACTGGGGTCTCCCTGAATCCACAACTCAGCTTTTTAAAGAGGACTCCCTACATTTACAAGAAAGCATGTTTGCTAGTGTTTCTCTTGAAAGGAGCGAACACAATGTATGAAATTAGAGATTAGAATTTAGAAATTAGATCAAAATTAGGAATTGTTCAAAAGAAATAATTTTGGAAGTTACTTTCTAAAGAAGAGAAGGATGAGATCACTGCCAGCAGAAATGGAACTTTGGGAGAACAGACGGGAGCTCCCGAGAGCACCTCATACCTCCAGGGGCACCACTCATGTAGATTTTGATGTGTAGCCTTCTTAGGAATGTCTGATGGGAAATTTCACCATAGCTTTGCTGTGTTTTTTGAAATGTAAAAATCTCTTCCCTCTTTCCATACAAATCTTAGTGAAATCAACACTATTTTCTAATGTGATGTTTTCGGAGAATACAAACAAATACTATCCACAGACGCAATATGAGATTGATTAAAAAAAAAAAAAAGATCAAAGCCTAGCATGGTAAAGTAAGAAATTCAGCACAATTCTTCAGCATCTCACTGTAGTTAAGCACTGTATTTGGCTACATAACAAGGCATATAAACTTATCACATGCAGCCAGGTGTCCAGGCACACACCTGCAATCCCAGCACTCAGGAGGCTGAGGCAGGAGGATCACTGTGACTTGGAGACCAGCCTGGGCTACATAGTGAGTTCCAGGTCAGTCTCAACTACATAGTGAGACCCTGCCTCAAACAAACAAACAAAGAAACATACAAACAATAAAACCAAATAAAGTAATCACACGCAAAAAATTTAAATCATGACAATAATTTTACAGGATGTGGTTATTCTTAACAGGAGAGAAAACTCAGAAGTAATGCGTGATTTGCCAATGCAGTATAGAAACAGAAGGCAAGGCTGGGACTGGACCCCCGTCCAGGTGCTTCTATTCGTACTGTTGCGTCTACTTAAAAAAAAAAGAAAGTGAAATATGGGCAAAGGGACTTCTCATTTCTTCTTTCGTCACTAACTTCCAGAAATTCTGAAGCCAGGGGACTTGGAACACAAGCAGCCTTCTTACCAGTACCATCAATCGTAGCAGGGGGCTTGGGGCTAAGAGAGAGGCTTACCTGTGAGTGACACTGCCAGGGAAGTTTGGGGAAACGTTCCACTTTCTCTTCTTACGACCGTCTACCAGGGGAGAGCAAGTAGCTTCACCTTCCTGCCCTTTGATAGAGAAATCCATGCCCAGAATTTTCAGACAGAAGCTCCAGAAACAAAAAACTTTCGTCCCACTAATTTATCATTTCCATAACTCGATAACAGGGCTCTTCCAGCTGGGCCACTGAAATATAATGAAGCATATCAGAGAGATCTTGAAGCTTAATGAGGATAAAGAAATTAAACTCCCAAGCCTGCTGATTTGAACAATCATTACTGCCCAACCCATCACCTTTTTTGGTATATTTGAGCCATTAAAGAAACTAATTATTTTCTCTTCCATTTGCCCAATAACCGAGGTCAGCCTTAAAATGTAAGCAACGAGTGGTTCACCTTGATTCTGTGACAACACAGGCAGCAACTGTTTCTTCCAGAGATGAACTCCTCCTCTCTTCTTACTAAAGATGCACCATGTTTTACAGAAACACCAGGCAGGTCCTGCCTGTACACTCTTCAAATGGCTTAGCGCAAACATAAATAATGAAAGCTTAGGAATGGAAGGGCAGACACCATGTTGGGCCTCTACTGAGGGAGGTGTCAGAAGCTGCTGCCAGTCATTTGGTGGCCACAGGGAATGGTGGCCGGCACTAGCACAGAGGATAGCGGTGAGTGAGCAGAGATGGTTTGGTAGGAGAAAAAGCAGCCAGCCTTTCAGGTGCCTTCAAGTGATAAGAAGCATCACCTGCACGGCTGTCAGAATCCATTCTCATGGTAGTGGTTGTGCCATTGGTGGAGGGCTGGGAGGAGAACAGCTGGCCAGAGCAGAGTGTGAGGGTCACTGGGCGAGCACCCCGACGCCTCCTCCAGGCAGCCTGCCCCACCTATTGCTCCCTTGAGGCGAGGTCCTGAGTACGTCACCACCCTCTCGCTCCTGTCTGTTCATAATGTGGGTGTGGCCAATCAGAGGGGCTTTAATGAGGGTTGAGTGACACTGGTCAGTACTCAGCATGATGCTTGGCGCACAATAACAAACAGCAGGTGGACCTGGTATTCAGGAAAATGCCAGTTATCAGTGGAAGCCTCAGATTCCTGGGGGACACAGGGGCTGCATGGTGATTGCTGAGACAGGAAGCAAGTGGAAGTCATTAAGGTGAAGGCTCGAAGCTCTCTGAGGACAGGCGCTCACCACTCCAACTCTGAGCTGCCAAATGGTCCACGCCCATCCCCAATGACCCAGCTGGGGCAGAAAGGTGCTAGAGTGAGCCATTTGTTCATTCAGAATAAAGAGCTACTGATGCTATCTGTGCCAGGCAGGGCAGTGTAGGGGGCATTTCAAAGACTCTAACTTGGGATAGCTCACAGTCATAGCTGGGAGACAAGGTGCCTAGGCAAGGGTAAAGAACAACAAAACAAAACGTTCATTACCATAAGAGCCAAGATCAATGAAAGCCCAGACATGACTCGACATTAATGCATGCTAAATCTCACCAGTTGGTTCACTCCTGGTGTGAGGAAGCCAGTAAAATGAAATAAGATCAGAAAACAGGAGGTTTCCTGAGGCGAACTCAACCTATTTCCAGCTGACCCTTTTATACTCCATCCTGATGGGCCATGTAAGAACAAGTTCAGAATACAGGAAATCCATTCCGATGCCTGACATTGACCCAAGGGCCTGCAATGTGGACTGGGAATGTTGAGTTCAGGGCAGGGAAGCAGTCAAGAAAGGTCACTTGGGGTCATGGCAGACACTGGTCTAGGAGCCAGGAGGTGGAACAGCAGCCGTGTTCACTATGAGAAGCTGAGGAAGCCCTTTGTTCTTTGTAGACCTCTATTTCCTCATCCACAAAAAGCTGGACAAAGGAGACTGAACTTCTACACCTTGAATCTCTCCTGACTGTGATACTGGAGAATTCCAGTACGGAGGAAGGGAAGGTCCTTAGAAGTCATATTTCACGGCCAAGATCCACGATGCCATCTCTGCCACTCTCCTCTGAGCCCAGCAGGCTGGTTTTATGGGCTTTCTCCTGGACTTGTGTCACTCTCCTTGCCAGCTCCAACTGCTCACCCTGGAGCCCTGCCTGTCCCTGATGCCCATAACTGGCTCCTCTAGGGAACGGGGAGGTCAGGTGCCTCCAGTCCATTTCTAATCACAGATGGAGGACACCAAAGACCTGGATTTATGAATGTCTTTCATCTGAATCAACCTGGCGCTGGCTCCCAGGGACTCTCTCTCATCTGCGCCATATGATTTGTAAGTCTGTCAGCCACTGTGGTAAGCCAGAGGCTGAGCTGAGGAATTATTAGTTGTCTTGCTGGCTCTCTTATGATGTAATAATAAATTCATTTGCTGAAAGTAACTGTATTCCATGGAATGCTTCTCCCATACTGCTTCCCCCACAGCCCACCAGCTTCCCCACTCTGTAATCCAGAGTTCTTTCTCTCATCTGATCCTTTGGAGGATTGTGGTTTTCTCTAATGAAGCTTGAACTGATGGAAGTTGGAAGGCACTAACAAATTTCAGGGTTTTCTGTGGGAGTCCAGTCTCTGATTTCCCACCCTCCTCCTGAATTACATTTTTCCTCTCTCCAGCTGGGAGGCATCAGATTCAAATGGAGTCTCAGAGAGAAATCTCAGGTTCCTGGAAAATATTTCCAGATTTATTTTAATGCATCCTGACGTGCCTCTGTACCTGGCACTAAGCCCAACCTACTGAGAAAGAAGGCTGTGTCTTTACGCCCAGAAAGTGCTACTGATCCTTTAAAGCCAGAAAGATTGTACCAGTGTGTTCTCTTCTGAGTCCCATTTGGAAATGGGACATCCTTCCAAGGTAAAAGGGCTCCATGTAAAAAGGATGCCTACTAACTCTAAACGGCGTGCTACACATTTAATGTCACTGGTGGAAAACAGTTTCACGGGGTGGGCGGGTAGTAGAAGGGTGAATTGGCATTTAGTGTAGGTATGGTAGTAAGGACAAGTAGGGTCTGTGGCAATCTGGAGAAATAAACTGTGTAGAAGATGGTTACTACTTAGTTTTAACTGAATTGGAAGGCAATTGGAGAAATATAGTTCATCAAATCTTTTTAATATTTCAAGAGAATACAGAAAACTTTAAAATGTGAAATACAGAAAACTTGACTTTAAAATCTGAAATGTCTGTGAGGTTGATTCCTAGGTGTTTCAACGCTAATGTGAAAGGAACTATTTGCCCCGTTTCTCTCTCATGAGTCAGTTGTTCATCTGCAGGAAAGCTATTGATTTATGTGTGTGGACCTCGTATCCAGCTACTTTACAGAATTTGATTATTAAGTCCAGAAGACTTTTGGTGGAGTTCTTGGGGTCTTCTATGTAAAGTATCATGTCATCTGCAAATAATGAAAATTTAACTTTTACTTCCTATGGTTTTTCAATCTTATTGAGTTTATTGGTACTTTTTAAGTACACGGTACAGTTACATTCATCATTGGGATCTCGTACCCTTACATGACAGATCTTGGTTCTCCTTATTCCCCATACCCCTGTCCTCCCTTCCATTTTCTATCTTATTCCTTTTACTCCTTTCTTTTGGCTAATTGCTGTGGCTAATGTTTCTGAAGCTATATTGAACAGGAGAGGTGATAGTGGACATCTTTGTCTTGTTACTGATTTTAGTGTGAAGGATTTCAGTTTTTGACCATTTAGTGTGATATTGGCTGTTGGTTTTTCATAGATGGCTTTTATCACTTTGAGGTAGAAACCATCTATTCCAATGTTTTATAGGGTTATTAATCACAAATGCATATTGCATTTTGTCAAATGCTGTTTTGCATCTATTGAGAGGTTCATATTTTGTTTTACCTCTACTCAGAAAACTACAGCATATTGAAAAAGGAGATTGAAGTTGACATCAGAAAATTTAAAGACATCCTTGCTCCTGTGTGTAGGAACAATCAACATGGTTAAAATGGTCATAATTCCAAAACTGCTATATAGATTCAATGAAATCATAATTGAAATTCCAGCAGCATAATTCACAGAACTTGAGAAAACAATCCAAAAATTCAAAAGCAATTCTAGGCAATGAGGAGAAGGTAGGGGGTATCACAATCCCCAACTTGAAACTATGCTATAAAGCTACTGTGAAAAAACCCCAAAAAGCAAGCAGCATGGTACTGACAGAAAAACAGACTGGAGGATAAGGTAGACTGATTAGAAGATGAAGAAACAACTCCAGACACACTCAGCCACCTCATCTTTGACAAAGGAGCCAAATACTCTCACTGGAGGAAAGATAGCCTCTTTAATAAATGGTGCTGGTCAATTTGTAATAGCTAAAACTTGAAAACAGCCCATTTGCCCATCATTTGGAGGCTGGATAAAGAAGATGTGGTTTTTCTATAAGATGGAATACTGCTCAGCCATAAGAAAAATGAGAAATTAGAGTCATTCATAGGAAAATGGATACATTCTGAGGATATACTCCTAAGTGAAATAAATAAGTCACACATGTATAAATAATGAATAGTTTCTCTGGTGTGAAAAACTATAATGGTACATAAGATCCTAATGATATAATTGACAATGTGAAATAGGAAGAAAAGAGCTAAAGGTGTAGGGGAAATGGGAAGGGTAGGGGAATGGTAATAAGGGAAAATTAAAAAATGATAAAATAAAAAATATGGAAATAAAGTATTTGTAAATAGGGAAGGGAGGAGGGGGTGAAGGGAGGGCAGGGATAAGGGGAAAAAATGAGAACCAAGACCTGTCATGTAAATGGACAAGATCCTAATGATAAGTGTAACTGTGCTGTATACCTAAAATGTACCAATAAACTCAAATAGGAAAAAAATAAAATGTGAAACATCTTATTGACAAATAATTCTGCCAATATCTTGCCAAATAACTGCGAATCTCTTATTGGCAAAAAATAGAAAACAATATGCAACATTCTGCAGGTCAGGGAAAATACAGCTGCTCGGACGACTTGGTGCAAAGATCTCCAGCCTTCAGCCTTTGCTATACATGCCTGATCTTACCTCCCTAACAGCCCCGGTGGGTGGGTTTTAGTATATCTCTTTAAGATGGAAGGAACTGAAGGTCAGGAATGACAAGGACATAGAGAAGGGGTTCAGAAGCTGGCCTGCCTAGCTCCTCTACGAGAGCCCTGTGCTGCATCTGCAGTGGGAACCTGGGGTTTGCTGAATGCTCCTGTTGCTGGAGCAGCTTGCAGAGAATTGGGCAAGTACGGGCGTTTCCACCTTTGCATGCACGAGGGCTTTTGAGGTCTCTATAAATATTTCCCAAAATTTGCCAGATTTGACCCTCAAGTACTTGAGGACATCAAAAGCATCTACAAGGAAATGTACTTGTTCCTGAGTCATTGTGCTTCCTATGGCTCCTTCAAATGTGCCTTTTTAAATCCTAAGTAAGGTTAGTTTTTCTTTTTCTTTTAGCTTCTCATTTTGAACCTATTTGCTGACTTTTATATAAAAGGACTAATCACAAATCTCCAAAGGTTCCAAGCCAACCAATGCGCACAGGATTTCCTAGATTTTCTTGAATGCCTAGAAGATTTGATTTGGAGCTTGAAGGAGATGAGAGGAGTTGGCATTTTTTTAGTCTGTACAGATGTGTCTGGCGTTGTGTCTGTTCACCATGATTTATCAAATTCTCTTTATGTCTCCATGAATTGAAAATTGGTGGCCTAATTTTACAGATGACACAACTGAGCTCAGAAAGTTTAAATAACATGTTGAAGGGGACACAATGCAGACAGGACCACAATTTGGACCTGTGCTGCCTGCCTCAAACCCAATGCTCTTTCCCCCATATCATGCTACCTATGAATATTATAAATCTGTCTGTGCTAAGAATGCTAGCACCTTGGTGAGAAATTCCTCTTTCAAGTTCCATTACTTTA